AGGGCCATGGTATATATTCAAGGCAACAATGTTCATAATTTCAAAACAGCGGGAATGAATTAAATAGCCATAAATTGAAGAGTAGCTAAGACAGTAGTATATGGATGACGTATTATGCAGCTGTGTAAAAGAATGAAGCCAGCGAATCTCCTCCTCCCTATCATCTCTTCCTCAATACAACCTAAGACTATAGATTCATTTCCCAGAGGGGAAATGGTATAACTGATCGTGTTAAGATGAATGCCTGCCAGTGCTTGGGTGGGTTGTTTTTGTGTTTGTTCTTGGCGGGAGGGAGTGGTGGGGCCAGGGCTGGACTTGAATTGAAGGAACATGTTCATCATCTCCCTTAGCTTTTGCACTCAAGTCTGGCACCCTGCTTGCTTCATGATCCATACTTCCAAGTCTGGTTTTTTTACTAGTTAATTGGAAATAAGAGTCTCATAGATTTGTCCACCCAGGCTGGCTTTGAACCATGACCCTCACATCTCAGATTTCCTGAGAAGCTAGGATTATAGGCATGAGCCACCCGTACCCAATGAGGAGGTTCGTGTTTGATGGCAACTTTGAAGAGGAGAGAAAGAAGAAAAATTATCCAGGTGCCTGTAATCCTAGCTACTTAGGAAGTTGAGACCAGAAGATTGCATGCTGTTCAAAGCCAGCCCAGGCAGGAAAGTCTATGAGACTCTACCTCACATAAATTACTCAGAAAAGCCAAGATTGGAGTTGTGGCTCAAGTAGGAGCAAAAGAAACTCAGGGATGGTGCCAGGTCCAGAGTTCTTCAAGCCTTAGGACCAGAAAAAAAAGAAAAAGGGCACAGTTGAAACGGTCTTCAAAAAACACAGTCAGCCGGGCGCCAGTGGCTCACGCCTGTCATCCTAGCTACTCAGGAGGCTGAGATCTGAGGATCACGGTTCAAAGCCAGCCCGGGCAGGAGAGACTGTGAGACTCTTATCTCCAATAAACCACTAGAAAACCAGAAGTGGTGCTGTAGCTCAAGTAGTAGAGCGCTCGCCTTGAACTGAAGAGCTGAGGGACAGCGCCCAGGCCCAGAGTTCAAGCCCCACGACCGACAAAAACAAAAAACACAGTCATGAGGAGCTTAATGACAAGGTACATTTCTTTTCTTTTTTTTCCTTTCTTTCCTTTTTTTGTTGGTTGTGGGTATTGAACTCTGGGCCTGGGCACTGTTCCTTAGCTCTTCAGCTCAAGGCAAGTGCTCTAACACTTGAGCCACAGCACCACTTTGGGTTTTCTGGTGGTTCATTGGGGATAAGAGTCTCATAGACTTGCCTGCCTGAGCTGGCTTTGAATCATAATCCTCAGATCTCAGCCTCCTGAGTAGCTAGGATTACAGGCGTGAGCCACTGGCACCCAGCAATAAGGTACATTTCTAAGCACTGCACCATTAGGTAACTTTGTTGTTATATGAGTATCATTCCCATATTAACTGTACAGATATATTGGTACAATTAAGATGGCTGTGTCATCCCCAGGAGATGTTCTCTTACAGTATCACACTCTTATACAGGGCCGTCCTTGACTGAAACATCTTTTCAGTCAAGTGACTGAATAGTTACTTCTGTACTCCTGGTTTTAAAGACTAAACAAGTACAGCATTCACATATTTTAGATTTGTGTAGTTCCCTTTTTGACAATTAACTGTTTATTAAAGTAATAAATTCTTCTAATTAAAAATAAATTACAGGTGCCGGGCGCTGGTGGTTCATGCCTGTAATCCTAGCTACTCAGGAGGCTGAGATCTGAGGATCACAGTTCAAAGTCAGCCTGGGCAGGAAAGTCCGTGAGACTCTTATCTCCAATAAACCACTCGAAAACCGGAAGTGGTACTGTGGCTCAAGAGGTAGAGTGTTTGCCTTGAGCTGAAGAGCTGAGGGACAGTGCCCAAGCCCAGAGTTCAAGCCGCACGACCAAAAAAATAAATGAATTACAGAGGGGGTTGGGATGACTTAGTGGTAGAGCTCTTGCCTTGCATACATGAGGCCTCGGTTCAATTCCTCAGCACTACATAAGCAGAGAAAGGCAAAAGTGGCACTGTGGCTCAAGTGGTAGAGCACTAGCCTTGAGCTGAAGAGCTGAGGGACAGTGCCCAGACCCAGAGTTCAGGCCCCACAACTGACTTAATTAATTAATTAATTTACAGGGGTTGGGAATGTGGTTTATTGATAGAGTGCTTGCGTAGCATGCATGAATCCCTGGGTTCGATTTCTCAGTACCACATAAGGAGAAAAGGCTAGCCATGTGCTAGTGGCTCTCGCCTGTAATCCTAGCTACTCAGGAGGCTCAGGAGGCTGAAATCCGAAGATCACGGTTCAAAGCCAGCCCGGGCAAAAAAGTCCATGA